AATTCTACCTTGGAAGATGTGAAGAAGCAGACCTGGGAAGTGATGGAGGACAGTTGCCAGGAAAGCTGCTGATTGGCAGAAGGACTATCCAGGTTTCATCATGAGGATGTGCAGACAATAGAGTGGCACATGTGATGGTTCAGATATGAAGTTTCCCCCCAAAGCTCATGTGTGAGGCAATGCAAGAAAGTTTAGAGGTGAAATGATTGGGTACTGAGATCCTTAACCTAATCAGTGACTCAGTCCTCTGCTAGAGATTAACTGGGTGGTAACTATAAGAAGGTAGGGGGTGGCTGGAGGAGGTGAGTCATTGGGGGCTTACCTTTGGGGTTTATATTTTGTCCCTCATCTGCAATGTGTTTTTTCTGCTCTCTGGTCCTATGTCCTTAGCTGCTTTCCTCTACTCTACCATTCCACCATGATGTCCTACCACAGGCCAAGAGCAATGGACTCAGCCATCTATGGATGGAGACCTCTGAAACTGTGAGAGCCAAATAAACTTTTCCTCCTCTAAAATTATTCTTGTCAGGTCTTTTGGTCCTAGTGGCAAAAGAGCTGACTAAAACTCCACACATCTCTATTTTCCTCTCTTCTCCAGGGAGAACAATGATTATAGTCTTTCAGTTTCTATCAGAGAGGCAAGACTAGAGATAAGAAGGCCACTTTTGAGGCCTACAAAGTCCCAAGCTACTTTGAAGTGGTTGAATATGTTTCAGGACCCTTGCACTAGCTATTCTCTGCCCAGAACACAGCATTACCAGATTTATACTCTCTCCCTCACTTCATGCAGTCCTTGGCTCAAATGTGAACACCCCTGGAGAAAACTTCTCTAACAAATTATCTACATTCATCTCTCCATCGCATTGTAGCCCCCTACTGTTCTATTTTGCTTTATAGTATTCAACACACCTGAAATTCTATATTATGTTTGTTTAGTTATTTCTGTTGGCTTCCCTAAAGGAATGTAAACTCCATGATGGAAGAAAGTGTTTTGCTCACTCTTTCTCCAGTTGTGCTTGGCACTTGGAAGATGTTTAACAAATAATATTAGATGAATAAACAGTTACATAATGAGTGACCAAAGATGAGACCCCCATCTATGACCCCTCTGACTTTAAGAAAAAGATTAAGGCTAAGGTAGAAAAACATTCCGTTGGTGCACTGGGATAACCCAGAGTCAGCCACGCACTTAGAATTTATAGTAATTATCTTTCTCCCCTGCTATTCTAGAAACTCCTTAAGAGGACCAACCTATAAGATTGATTCATCACCATCTTCCTGGTTACCTCAAACTATGCAGAAAACTTCTGTGATTTGGAAGGCTGAGGCAGGAGGATTCCAAGTTCAAGGCTAGCCTCAGCAACTAAGGAAGACCCCATCACAAAAAATAGAAAGGGCTGGGGATGTGGTTCAGTGGTAAATTTTCCCTGGGTTCAATCCTTGGTATCAAACAAACAACAACAAGAAGAAAGTATGCAGAAAGGAAGGCATCAAATTAATGTGTTGGATTTGGGTAAAACATGAAAAGTGGCTGAGGGTTAACCAGCTGTGAAAAGGAAGATGCTTCCAAGTAGAGGGAAGAGCAAGGCTGAGGCCATGTGGCAGGAGATAGCAACTCAGTCCTTAGTAAAAGAACAGACAGAACTAACAAATATGACCAGGATAGAGTCCGGTGAGGCTGGAGAGGTGGGTGGGTGCTGCCATGCTGAAGGTTTGTAGGCTTGGTGGGCAAGGTATTTTACCTCTCCTATAAGCAATAGAATGCTTTTCATCTGTGAGTGTGCTAGAGGGACATTGTCAATTTTGTCATCCCACAAACCTCTGGCTGCAGGATGTGGAGAGGCCACTGAGGAATTGGCCTTGACACAGGCTACAGATGTGGAGTTGGATTTAGGGTCTCTGGAAGGTAAATTCTACAAAGGCTGGGTCTCTGTTTCATTTGCTGCTATCTTCCTGGCATTGGTCTATGGAATAATTCCTGGCACACAGGAGATTTACCCAATGTCTGTTGAATGAATGAAAGATGTGGTGGTTAAGAATGAAGGAAATTTCCTTGGTTTACACCCAAAGGACTTAAAATCAGCATAATACAATGACTCCCCACATCAATGTTTATAGCAGCTCAATTCACAATAGCCAAACTATGGAACTAACCTAGATGGCCTTCAACAGATGAATGGATAAAGAAAATGTGGCATACATGCACAATGGAATATTACTCAGCCTTAATGAAGAATGAAATTATGGCATTTGCAAGTCAATGGATGAAGCTGGAGAATATCATGTTAAGCAAAATAAGCCAATCCTCAAAAATCAAAGGCTGAATGTTTTGCTAAGTGGATGCTAATTCACAATGAGGGGTGGGCTGTGGAAAAACAGAGGTACTTTGGATTAGGTAAAGGATAGTGACAGGAGGGGAGGGGGTAAGGAGGGTAAGAAGGATAGTAGAATGAATTGGACATTATTATCCTGTGTACATGTGTTATTACATGACCGGTATGGTTCTACATCATGTACAACTAGAAAAATGAGAAGTTATACTACATTTATGTATGATGTACCAAAATGCACCCTACTGTCATGTACAACTGATTAGAACAAATAAATAAATCTAAAAAAAAAAAAAAAGAATGGAGGAAAGGGACTAGTTCAAGGGATTTTGACAGAGTTAAAATTAACAGGAAATGGTGTAGGACTGGCTGCAGAGTACCAGGTAGAGAGATGCCAGGAGGACTCCCAGGTTTCTTATTTATGTTTCTTTCCTTTCTTTCTATTTTGGTGATGAGGATTGAACCTACAGCTTCATGCACACTAGGCAAGCATTCTACCCCTAATCTACACCCACAGCCCCTCTTGCGAATGTTTTTCTATGGATGGAGAGTATTGTCATTTCTGGAAACAGGAAATAGCAGAAGATTCTATATTTTGTGTTTCTGGTCCTCTTTTTAAGCAGAATTAGAACTTCCTCCTCTCTGCTCTCCTGGGGAGGCCCCACTGAAGCTGTTCTGTTCTCTTCTGGTTGCTCTGTTCTCTGAGCCATTGAACAGCTGAGGAGGGGGGTCTAGAGGACAGAACAAAGTAACTCTTGGATCGCTGAAGTCTTTTTGTGTGTGTGTGTCCTGGGGATTGAACATGGGGCCTTATGCATGCTAGGCAAATGCTCTACCACTGAGCTGCATCTCCAGTCCTTTTTATTTTGAGACAGGGTCTCACTAAATTCCCTAGGATGACTTTGAACTTGCAATTCTCCTGCCTCAGCCTCTTGAGTAGCTAGGATGACAGGTGTGAGTCACCATGACCCATGAGGACATTAAAAAAAAAAAGTTAAAAGTGCTTTTGCTTTTGGGATATAAGCTACCATGTTCTATAGTTACCATGTCATGAAAGAAGTCAGGAATGGGCTGATAATGGCTCTACAGACTAAAATCAGCATAGAGAAGGGGTCTTGGTATGTAGCTTGCCAGTTCCTTGGCCCTACCCATTAAGGCAGGACCAGCCAGAGACAGTTGATGGTCATGACTGCTGTGTTCAATGGGGCTGGATGAACTCAGAACCATTGACTTGGAAGAAGACTTCGAGGGAAGTTACAGAGTGACTGGTATTACTGTAGCACAAGAAATGTTGCTGAGTTAGATTTGGAGATGGAAAAAGGAGTGGATCATGTAAGGGAAAGAAATGAATAATTATGATGCTTCCCTTTAAGAAATATTCCTTCATTTTTCTTTTACTCTATGGCTGGTTGTTTGAAGAGGTCTGCTAAGTATTGGATTTCTTTGAATATAAATGTGAAAACAAACATTTAGTTTTAGGAAATAGAGAATCAGCTCTTTTCTCTTTGGGATGCAGTGCACTACAGTAGTACCAGACAGCCTGGGTTCAAATCTTACCCCCACCAGCTAACTGTGTTATCTTGGGTAAGTCATTATGCCTCAGTTTTCCCAATATTAAGATGAAGAAAATAATAGACTTAATAGAGTTGTTATGATGATGAATGAGGTAGTATATGCAAAATGTTTAGTAGGTGCTCGGTCAGTACTAGCAGCTATTATTATTTAAATTAGGAAGATTTTAGGAAATTGTCAAAGGGCATGTTTGAGGATGTCTCAAATGTTGCGTATCTGTCATTTCCAGCAGGTTGGGATTGCCACATGTGTCTCTGACTAGTCCTATCACGTGGGCATGACTGTCATGAAATGGGTTGAAGTAGGAAGGCAGAGGCTGGCAGGGAGACCACTTTGTTTCTAAACAGCAGGCAGATGGTGTGTATTCTGTTTGCGCAGGAACATGCAGGATGACATTATCAAATATGCCTGTATGACACAGAGGTTATGTTTTGTGTTTGTTTTGTTGTCGGGCAGGGCAGGGTAGGTGGCAGAGAGGGAGGGAATACTTACTGGAGTTAGCACGTTTGTTGTTTCCCTTTTAGCTATTTGTTTTTGTTTGTTTGTTTGTTTGTTTGTTTCAGTGCTGGGGATGGAACCCAGGGCCTCAACCATGCAAATGCTCTACCATTGAGCTCCACTCCCAGCCTAGTGATTATTTTTTTATTTTGGGGGAGGTACCAGGGACTGAACTCAGGGGTACTCAAACACTGAGCCACATCTCCAGCTCTATTTTGTGTTTCATTTAGAAACAGGGTCTCCCTGAGTTGCTTAGCATCTTGTTTTGCTGAGGCTGACAAACTCGATGTCCTCCTGCCTCAGCCTTTCGAGTCATTGGGATTACAGGTGTGAGCCACCACCCCCAGCTAGTTATTAGTTTTGGAAGCATGACAAATGATCTTACTTCAGGGCTGCTGAGATGGTTAAATTAAATAACACATGGGGAGATGCTTTTTTTAAAAAGTACTTCATATATACAGTATTTATTTGTGTGATTTGTTTTTATCATTTTATAGTTTGATTAGCCAGACACAGATAAGGTCATAAATTTACTCCAGAGGACCAAGAAGCACAAAATAGAAAAATTGAGTTTTAGGAAAATAGATAATAATTCCATACCATTTCTGTGAACCGATCAGCACAAGCCATTCGAACTTGTTCTGGCGTGGCTGGGCTCTTCACCGTGAAGTCCTCAGCGGCATCTCTTTCTCTGCGCACTGCAGCCACCGCATCCATGATGGCAAAGAACACAGATGACCCCAGGAACATTCCAGACTCCCCGAGGCCCTGAAAAAAAGCACATTTGTTTTAGAAATTTAGACTTTAGCTACTAGAGGGCAGAGCCAGGTCTTGTTCACCATTATATCCTCAACTCATGACATAGAGCTTTGCACAAATTGGTTTTCCATGAATGTTTGTTGATTGACTTATTGATAAAATGAACCTTGAGTACTTTTTTAAATCCCAGTAATACCTAAACTTCTCAGATCTTTAATCCTGGCTGTGTTAAGCCTTTGTTCTCTAGGAACAAAGGTGGTGGTGGGGAACCTATTTAGTAAAGATCATTTAATGGATTGAACTGGCCAAATTCATAAGCAGAGAAAAAAATGCCTAAGTATGATTCCAGGATCTGAGGAGGCAGGGTGCTCTGGAGCACTCCTTGGCCATGATCGCCACTGGGTGGATCATTCATCTTCCCTGAATCTCAGTTTTTCCTAGTTGATTCACCTCCATATGGTTTGGTCTATGTAACAAGTAACATTTATGTGTTATTTTGTCCACAGACTTACTTTGGCTATGTTACTGGATCCGTGGTAATTTTGGATGCTTACCTTGGAGGAATAGATGGTCAGTGGGGTTTGTGATGATGGCAAGAGGGAGACATTGAACTCCTCTGGGACATCTGTGATGGTTGGAATTTTGTACTCATCTGAGCTCCGTGAGTACAGGACACCTTCTGGGGAATACTGTAGCTCTTCAGTTGTATACAGGCCCATTCCCTGAATAAATGCACCTTCAATCTGCAGGGGGATAATTTCAAGCTTTGTGACATTACAGCCTTTTATGAAGGCCTTTTTCTGCACCACAACTGTGTTCAGGAAGGGATATCTCTTTAAGTGGGCCAGCACCTACCTGCCCGATATCAATGGCCGGATTTAGGCTGCAACAGGCATCCATGACAATGTCCGTCCTGGTTTTCTGCCCAAAATAAAAATGATCTCCCCATAAAAACTTGTATTAAAAAATACAGTTTTCAAGTTTATTCAGACAGTCTCCAGTTATTCCCAAACTCCAGCTGGTGAATTAACACTGCATTGAACTCCATCAACATTGGAGCTGGCAAGACATCTGCTAAGCTCTTCAAACTGAGTACCAGGACTGCCAGTGACCCTGGAAGAACTTTTCATGGTTTTGACTCCTCTTAAGGGACTCCAAAGTCTACAGCATGTTGGTGTGTTTAAGTGAGTCACTTAGTAAATAATTGAGCTTGGTTGTGCATCTAATTTCAACCTGGATTTATCGTTGTAATGGAATTCACGAGCTAATCTAGTCCTCATGATAATCTGACGCAGGTGGCATTATTGCCATTTGACTGAGGAAATCATGTAGCCATGATGTCATGTATGAGTTAGGGGGCTTGCAAGATCTAGGAAGGTATCAAAGGAAAATGTTGAGGCCAACCTAGACTTTGCTACTCTACTTTCTACTCTGAGAAACAGCACACTAATCTGGCCCTTCTGTTTTGGCACAGAGTATGTGTGTGCAGGTTGTTAGAGAGTCACAAGGGCCTCCCAAGTGTCTATGGTCTATCTCAGGAATACCTCTGGGGTTTCCTTCTGCCCCTGTTTCCAGTCCTTATTCAGGTAATGTCATTCTCTGTTTGAGTTTAATACCTGTTCTCCTACTTCCTATAGCCTTCTGGGTTTGGCATTCCTTTTGACTCTAACCTTGGCCTCTCAGGCATTGGGACCAGCCTTTATCTATCCTCAGCATGGAGAGGGAAAGGAACAGGCTATACCTCAGTGTAGGCCTTCAATTTACTTCTTCCTTGAAACCCGATATGCTTTGCATTATGGGAGTTGGACAGGGAAAGAGATGACTGTGCACTGACACTGAATCAGTGGCCTGCGTTAGTACACTCACCACAAACACAGCAGCAATAGGCATGCCTTCTAACTGGCAGCAGTACGCCTTCATTTGCTTTTTCTGAATTCTCTTTAATTAAAGGAAGTTTTGCCTCTTCAAGGAATCAATTATTTTAAGGGATCAAAGTGATACTGAAATTATTGAACCTTTAATTATAAATATAAGCTGGAAGGAAGAAGGAAGAACACATTTTAACTTTTCTGGTACCATAAATTCTGGAAGATCTTCATGTGGTTTGTTTCTTTAGAGATTTATTCTGAGAGCCTCAGAAAGAATTGACAGATAAAAAGGTCTGAATGTTGCATGGGATACAGAAAATTATTTGTTATTTAGTTGAAATTCAAGTTAACTGGGTGGTCTCTATTTTTGTTTGCTAAATCTGGCAACATAACTATCAGAGTATGGTGTCTGAAAACTGGTGTGTACCTAAAAACAGCTTTCCATCAAATTGGGTACAGGTATGCAGAAATACTGACATTTGGGCTTTGAAGGACCCTAGAGCAGGGCCCCCCAGGTTAATCACATGCTGCAATGTGCTGTGCTAATATAATTATCTAGGTGTGCCATGATGTGAAAGACGGTAGGAAGCACAATCAGATGAGCAATCTGTGATCACATGAGTCTGTGTCTTAAAAATGATCTAGAATAAAAATGGAGACACTACATTAACATACCCTGAGGATACCCTTGAATGGAATGTGAAGGCGACTGCTTTCCAGATGGCCCTTCATTCACTGTATTTTTAAATTTTTTATTTCATAAATTTATTTGATTTACTGTATTTAAAAAAATTCATATAATATTTAAATTGGTGGAGAAGTTAACCCAAAATGGGACAGTAGAAGACATTTTGATATATTTTCATGTAAGTATTTGCAAAGCCCTTTCTCTTCTACATAAATTAGTCATTTCTATTTTGGGACAAGGTTGCCAAAAGGTTTTGTTGGAATAATTTGTGTATAAAATCAATTTAATTTTTTTTGTACTGGGGATTGAACCCAGGCCACTTTATTCCTGAGCTACATCCCCAGTGCTTTTTATTTTTTTGTACATGGAATTTATTTATTTATTTATTTATTTTTGTACATGGAATTTAAAAGTGTAAGTGTCATTGGTGCATCCCATAAACTTTCTAACAATTTAACACATTTTTATTGTACTATCTTCTATTTAAGCTTCTATAATCTCTGTTCCTGGAATGGTACCACCACCTGGAGTGGTATTCTGAGGGTGTAAGTTGTTAACTTTGGGTTAAATGCAATTCTGTCTCTATTAAGTTTCTCTAATGCTCAATTAAATGACAAACATGAAAAATATTTTCACACCTTCCTTCTCCCAAGTTTTTCTTTAAAGATCAGTAGTACCCTTGGGAAAATGGACTTTAAGAAACATTAGCCCCTTGCTTTGTGCTTTCAAGACATTTGCTTAAGACTATTTGCTAAATGCCTTATCTCTTCAGATGAGAGAACTTGTACCTCCTCAAGAAATAGAAGCCTCTGGATAAAGCTTTGGAAAATGATTTTTTGCTGAAAGTGAATAAATATATTTAATACATTAGTCAAATTTGGACTGTCATGAACAATTCCTTTTTGACCATTAAATGGTCTTTTTAAGAGGAAATTACAAGACAAGGCTGGGTCTCTGGACATTCCAATGGAATTGAAAGAATCTTGACACTTATTTTTCTATTCTTTTCATTCTTTTTGAGACAGGGTCTTGGTAAGTTGTCCAGTCTGGCCTTGAACTTGCAATCCTCCTACCTCAACTTCCCAGTAGCTAAGATTACAGGTGCATGTCCACTATGCCCAGTTGAACTGAAAAAAAAAATCTTATTTTTGTTATCTGAGTGTTATATAATAATGTTGAGCTACTTACTGTAAAATGTAATTTTGTGGTTGATTTTACTTGTCAAGAAGAATATTAGACTTGACTTACCTTGTGAGCACCAGTCAGGCAATCAATTTCAACTTCAGAACAGGCAACTCCATAAACATAGTATGGAAATGGGTCTCCCTCCCCCTTCTCCCAGTCCATGAAGGCCTTGTAGCCTCTGAGGGAAGAAATAAAACCCTTTAGCTTGGGAGTGGAAGGTGAAAACAATAATGATTCATTTAAAAAATTATCAAAGTTTTATGATAGTATTTTATTTGATGGCTGTTCATTTAAACTGGCTTTTTTGTTTGTCTGTTTGTTTTAAAACCAAGAATTGAACCCAGGTACATTTAGCTAGAATCACATCTCCAGCCCCTTTTATTTTTTATTGAGAGACAGGGTATCACTAAGTTGCTTAAGACCTTGATAAATATATGAGGCTGGCCTCAAACTAGCAATTCTCTTGCTTCAGCCTTCTGAGCTGCTCCGATTACAGGAGTGTACCATCAAGCCCACTGAAATTGCTACTATGTGTTTACAACCTACCTGGTTATTGTTTGCCTCATTTTACTTCCTGTGCTACACAGGTAGATTTCACCAAGGGAGAAGCCAATGGACTCTTTTGGCCTGGACCTCACAATGGGTCTCCATGTTGAAATCTGAAGTTTGAGCTCAAGCCCTGCCAGTACATTGGGAATCTCAATGGATTTTAGTCAAGTGTTTCCAGTGGGACCTACAGACTGTGCTACCCAAAGTCATAGGGGACAGATGATAACTCAGCCTGGTTTAAAAAAAAAAAAAAGAAAGAAAAGAAAAAGTGGGGCCAGTAATTCAGAGTTGTTTTGTTTTTTTTTAAATTTTTTTAAATTGTTGACAGACCTTTATTTATTTATTTAAATGTGGTGCTGAGAAACCCAGTACCTCACACATGCCAAGCAAGTGTGCTACTGCTTAGCCCCAGCCTCAGCCCCAGCCCCAGTAATTCAGTTTTAATTTATGCTGGAATGTGTATTCAGACTGAGGGCTGGATTGTTGTCTTCCTGCATAGATGAGCTCAGGAATTTGGAACTCATTGCATATGTGCACTGCGCCAGGCTGTTGCCTATTCCCCCGCCCCCCATGACATTGCTTTGCTATTTCATTTGTGTGTGCATGAGTAATTTGATGGTTTATTTCATCAGATTATAAAAACAATGGCTTCTACTTCTTGTTTTTTTCTTCTTTTTTTTGTTTTGTGGTGCTGGAATGGAACCCAGAAGTGCTCTCCCACTGAGTTACACCCCACCCCCACCTTCAGCTCTTCACTTCTTGAAAGTGACTACCAGTTCTCTTTGTTCTATTCAATTGCCTTGCATTTACCAAGACTCTTCCCACTGACAGACACTGCATAAATGATGATTATGATTATCACCTTGCCCATCATCTTCTGCCCTGCTAGGAACTCCAAAAGAGAAAGTTTCCATCATAAAGAAAGGGAGGTTTGTGCAACTCAGTTGCAAGTTATTTCTAATGATAAAATATTCCTACTACTCACAATAAAGGGTATAGTAAATAATGGTTAGATAAGTCAAATTGAGTTTGTTAGGCTTGATATATTTTTATTATTAAATATTTCTTTAAAGATAAATCAAAGGCCTATGTGAAATCACAGAATTTTGAGTTTAGAAGAACTTCAGCAACCATACAATAAAATCTTAATTACAGATGAGAGAATTTAGGCCCAGAGCAACTGGGTTACCTCAAATTTTTTCTTTAATTTTAAGGCTTGGGCAGGGGCTCAGCAGTAGCACACCAACCTAGCATGTGTGAGGCACTGGTTTTGATTCTCAGCACCACATATAAATAAATAAATAAAATAAAGATCTATTAACAATTTAGAAAACTTAAAAAAAAGATACTTTAATTTTTACCTGAAGTATCCAGTGGCTGAGAGACTGATTCTTTGCTCAAAGGCTGCTTCTATCTGCAGAATGGGCATATGTAGTCAAAATGAAGTAGATATACCATTTGATAAGTAAAAATGAAAAAAAGTCTATATTATCAAAATTGACATCAGATTGTTGCTAGTGCTTTGCCCTTAATAGTATACTTATCATAGTAATTTATCCTCGGCTGGCATCATGACAATTTCTCTCTGATTGAGTTTCTTTTCTTAAATTTATTTATTTTTTATTTTGTTTGTTCTTTTTAGATATACATGACAGTGGAATGCATTTTGACATATTATACATGATGGAATATAACTTATTCTAATTAGGATCCCATTCTTGTGGTTGTACATGATGTGGAGTTTCACTGGTGGTATATTTATTCTGATTGAGTTTAGAAGTTTGTATTAAACAAAGGTAAACTGGAAACCTGCTTCATATTCATGTTATATGGGCTAAATTCACAAGTTATTTGGGCTTCATTTCTAAGTGTTAAAATTCTAGTAAGTATATGTACATAAGTATGCCCTGGCATGCCTTTCTCAATCTTTCTGCCCTTTCACAGAAATCCACTCAATTGGAGAATAACTTTCTCTGGGGAAGAAGCATGCTGTAGCACTGTGACAGAGACTTAGAGAAACTGCCCTATGTGGACTGACTGTGCGCTACTGTGACACTCTCTAAGCACTGCTTCCGATTATTTCCTCATTTGTAATAACAAATGCAGAGGAACACTTACCCAGTTTTCCCATGTGCCTTCTGGATTTTTCTTAATGATGGGCTCAAGGCGTTTCAGAAGGATCTGACAAGCATTCTTAAAGAAATAAAGAAGACAGCCACATCAATGTTTATAGCAGCTCAATTCACTATAGCTAAACTGTGGAACCAACCTACATGCCCTTCAACAGATGAATGGATAAAGAAAGGTAGGGAAGAATAAATGAACTTTGGATTGAGCAGAGGGGAGTGAGGGAAGGAAAAGGGTGTGGGGATGGGATGGATGGTAGAATGAGATGGACATTATTACCCTATAGATATGTATGATTACACAAACAGTGTGACTCTGGACCATGTTCAGCCATGTTCCATTTGTGTTCAATGTGTAAAAATGCATTCTATTCTCATATATAACTAATTAGAACAAATTAAAAAATTAAACAAGAAAAGAAATAAAGAAAAAAATCCACATTAGGAAAGAGCCTAATGGTTAGGGTTTGTGTGAAAGACTATTCATTGATCATTCATTTGGTCAGAAAATGTTTATAAAGGGCCTGCTCCTGCTAATCTGGGAACAGAGATAACACAGCCCCTGCTCTTAAGTTTCTGTTACTGGAGGGTTTTTTCCACTCTTCATGATACACTTCCTGTGAAAATATGGGTTCAACTGAATTTATATTCCCAGATCTTCTTTCTTAGATGAATCAGATTTTTAATTCCTTCTTATGTTTTTTTTACATCTTTATTCTATACTTTCTTTTGCATTTTCCAGCAACTAAAATAAATGTAATAAACATTTCATTTTCCTTCAAATTTGTGCTCTTCAGTCTGAAGCAATGACATGCTAATGACCCTCCAGGTCTGAAACACTGAACTCTCTGTTCATCCTTCCATCTGTTCATCCACTTACCATCAAATTGCTACAATGAAGGCCTTGGCTTTGGGTTTGAAATGAGAACATAAGAAACTTGACCTATAATAACCTAGATCCACAAAATTTCGAATCCTTAAAATAGAAACCTGAAACTCAATATGCAGGAAGATAGATTAACACTTAGTTTGAGTTGACAACTCCCATACACACTGACCTGTTTCCCTCCTAGGTTGGATTCCACCCCAAACTGGATCTGATGAATTTGAGGGTTTTCACAAATTTGTTCTGAGCAAAATAGAGTTCTTGCTTTTTGACCCTTTTATATGTCACCATATAGGTAAGACTGATTGGAAATCAGTGCTTCTGGGCGGCAACTATTCAGTGTCCAGTGTGGTGGGGTGGGGGTGGGGGGCAGGAGATATGCCTCTAATAATGTTTTAATGAAAAAGTGAATAGTTTGTAACAGAAACTTTATGAATACAGTATCTTTTACTTTAAAAGTATATGCAATCAGCTGATCATGGTGGAGCTCAAGAGGCTGAGGCTGGAGGATGGAGAGTTCAAAGACAGCCTCAGCAAAAGCGAGATGCCAAGCAACTCAGTGAGACAGTACTAAATACAAAATAAGTCTGGGGATGTGGCTCAGTGGTCAAGGGCCCCAGAGTTCAGTCCCTGGTACCAAAATAAATAAATAAATAAAAATTTAAAAAGTATATGCAATCAGATATTTGAATTAGAGACTAGGAAGTCATGATTTTATTCTGAAATAGTGCAAATTTAGTGCTTGTTAAAGACATCAATTAGAAAATAAGTACAAAGGAAAGCTGAGTACTCTGGGTAGAACCACACCGATGATAACACTATACCTGCACCATATATGCTTGGCTGGAGTTTGGCTGACCTGCCTGCCTGCCTGTAAGAACTTGCTTGTGCCAAGGGAAACTAGCACAGCTCTGTTTTATGATACTGAAATTTCTTTTGTGTCTCCCAGGAACAGAGATTCCCTGTTCACCAAAATTCTTTCTCCCTGCTTCCATGGTACCTACACATATGGTTTCCCACTACTCTACATTTCCCAACCTCTCTTGCAGTTAGACACGGTCCAAGACTAGTTCTGCTTATAGATTATGAGTGGAAGTGACTTGCATCTCTTCCAGGTCTGGCCTGGAGTCTTCCTCATGGGCCCTTCCTTGCATATTGGAGTGATGGTGCTCAAGGCTACCTGGAAAGCCCCTTGTTGTAGATGATGGAGCCACTATCACATCTGGGCATGTGAATGACCAAATGCTCTCTCTGGACTGATATGTGTGCAAGAAAAGGACTTCTGTTGTGTTTGAGCCATTATATTCTGCATCTATTTTTTCACTTCATGTTAGCTTACTCCAAGTAATATACTCTCTGTTTTTAAAAATTTTTATATTGAAGAGTTTATTTGAGCATCTGAGGACTCTGAATCAGACAGCAGTTGACATCCTGATATACTCTCTTGACATTTTGGTTATCCTATGATCATGTTAGTGACACGGATGATTTCTCTGAAGCTAACTGCTGTACCTTTATCCAGCTAAGAAAACAGGAGATTTGGGGAAAGCACACTGGGGAAAGACAGGAGAGATCACCTGCACAGCTCTGCCATTGACATCTGCACCGACGGACGCTGCTGTTGCAATTGTATTAGGCACCGTTGCTGTGCTTGTCTCACAGATGTGCAGATAAGACATGGGGACTTTTAATTCACGGCTGGCCACCTATGGGAAAGGGAAATATTTTCAAGTCCTCAGGGATTTCTATGAAGACTTAAGTCATTACTTTTCCTTAATAATAAAAAAATACATTCATGATAGACTTTAAAAACCTAAGGTAATATGTTTTTAAATAACTTTTAAATATGCATGCATGCATTAATTTAATTTAATGCATGCATTAAAATAACTTTTCAGTAATACCTTACTCTGTTTTTTAAGGTTTTTTTTTCTTGATAATACGTTAAAGTGCTTTTTCTTTTCAAATTTCTGTCTTTAGAACATTAAAGTTGAGATTTTCAGGAACTTATTTGTTGGAGTGATAGGAAGAAATTGAGACAGATGATGAATAGATAGAGATTAATTAGATTCATTGACTCAAAATTTGCTCTGAAGTCTGTTGGTGTCAGTCTTGGAACTTGAAAAGACTGTGAGGTCTTCTTTCTTGCCTTCGTCTCATCTTAACTTTAGTTTATTCCTTTTTTTTCTTCTATTTGTTCCCTCTTGTTTATACTTCTCTAGTATTTGCCCTTTGTGGTCTTATTTTCTGTTTGTTTTCTTCTAGATTCTCTAGGAAATACATGTAGAAGTTAAGATATTTAATCAGAAAGAAATGAAAAAAAAGAGGAGCAAAGAAATGGAAAGGAGAGAGGTAGGAAGAAAAAAAAGCACTATTTTGGCTGCTGTCATCTTTTTTTGTGTTTTGTCAAGATGTCTGTAGGTATGTATCTATTCTTGTCCCCAAATGCCAATCTTTTAATTAAGGCCACTAACTATTGAGTTTCCCCACAAAGATGCAACATTAAGAAAAAAAAAAAAAGAAAATATCATTGTTTCTTAGCTGTGAAAATCCAAAAAGAATGTACTGGTTCATTCAACTGAGAAGGACAGATGGAGCTAGTGTCAGGTTATGTCTGCAGGTAGGAACTTTATGTTCTTTTAAGTTCTCTTGGCCTCTTGCATTATTATTATTATTATTATTTTCTACATGTTCCTTACAACAGTAGACAGGCTTTTTACATGGCACAGAATTGCCAGCCACTGCGGGCCTACAGCATAATCTCAACATCTACCTGTCTGGGACACTGATTGGCTTGCATGAGTCACTCCCTCTCTTCCTGCAGCAGGTGAGGTTCGGAATTGGTTAGGCCCAGATCTTGCAGCTATATCAGTGGCAGTTGTGGGAGCAAGGAGGATGATGGGATTAAAAGGAAACTGAACTGAGGAGTACTTTAGAACCATGTAAAATGTGGTTCTAATATTCTGATAATGAAAATATTCTGATAATTAAAAGTTCTAAATGTGCACTGTAACAATCGAATACATTTGTCACAAGGTTAAATGTATTCAATATAGGGGATTATTCTTTTATTCTTCTAAGATATTCTTCCTAGTTTCCATGTATGTGTATATATTAACATATCCTTTAAAAATATAGGATGATAGTTGACGAAATACTTGCTGTTCAAATAAAATGCCAGCAACTTAACATTGTTGTGTGAAATAAAAAATTATACCTACTGGTCTTAAAATAGAATACCTGAAAAACTCCTCCTCTTGGTAAACCAGCATGGAACACCCTCCATATTCTCTATGGGCTCATGAGTGGCATCATCCCTATGCCCTGGAGCAGTATTACACACATATGGGATTTCTGCCACCTCAATAACTGTATTTTGTATGTAAGAAGCCTTTCAACTGAATAGTCAGGGCCTTAAGAGTTTGAATCATCATTTACCCAAATTTCAGTCATGTCAACAATGTGATAGAAATTTATTTAATTACACTTATTTTACCTGCAGCATTTTGGTGTGAATCCCTTGTCCCAGTTCGTTGCCTCCATGTGTGACCAATACAGACCCATCTGTGTAGATATGAACAAGTGCAGCTGCCTATAAAACAACCCAGAAGGCACAGCTCAGTGCAAGGTGGCACTCAGGAAGTTTGATGTAAGACAAGAGGTGGGGAGCTGGGTGCTGTGGCACATGCCTGTAATCTTAGTGGCTCAGGAGGTTGAGGCAGGAGGATTGAGATTTCAAAGCCAGCCTCAGCAAAAGCAAGGAACTAAGCAACTCAGTGAGACCCTGTCTCTAAATAAAATACAAAATAGGGCTGGAGATGTGGTTCAGTGGCCTGAGTTCAATTCCCAGTATCCCCCTCAAAAAAAAAAAAAAAAAAAAGAAAAGAAAAGAAAAAGAAATCAGGTGGGGAAATACATCTCACAGAGCATTGAGGGTCAGAGAGGCAGGGTTTTCTGGTACAATTCTCAAGCTTACTTCTGGTTTGTGCAAAAACACTTGTAAAGCAGTTTAGGAACCCGGGCAGTCAGAACCCTTTTGGAAACCTCTGGAGTTGTGAGTATTGGTTCCAAATGTTTGAAAGTTGGCTCCTGCTTAAAGTCCCTGGCTGACCATAAAGCAAATGAATTTAATACTTTATCAGCTCTACACATATGAAAAGGAATATGACGTGGTTCTTCTTCAAGTAGTTCACAACAAAGTGGGGAGACAGGGTAGAATCCAGGCATCGTAGTATACCATGATCAGTGACACGCTGAGATATAGGGGCCCTGGGAGACCTCAGCAGACAGGTCCAACTTCTCCCATGCTGCTCAGGGTTGGATTCTCTGATGTGACAACTGAATGGAGTCAGGAAGGAGAGAAGGGTTTGCCTGTGGACAAGGTAGGCAAAATCTCCCTATTGCCTGTGAGGGAACACCTTGCTCCTATTACAACATAAAGCCCTTTGGTTCTGTTTTTGTTGCTTTTTTCCAGCTTCGTCCCTTCGCTTGCCCCACTGCTGTTCCTCTCTGACCTGAACTCTTACTTATGCTGTTCTCTATTCCTGGCTTGCTCCTCCTCCTGATCTTTCCCTGTCTGCTCAGACTTCAGACTTATACCCACAGTCTCTGTTCTGTTAACATTCCCCTGGATGCTTTTCATCCCATCTGGAAAAGATCAATCCGCCCCTTCTCTGTAGTTCCTCTTACCAGAAGTATTGGGTTGAATAGTGTTCCAGTCTCCCTGCTGCTACTCCAACTACTGCCATTCATGCCACTTAGCACCTCCAATGTAACCTCATTTGGAAACAGTCTTTGCTGATATAATTAGTTAAGATGAAGCTGGATTAAATGAGAGTGGTCTCTAATGACAAGTGTCCTGATAAAACCATGTGAAGACACCAGGGAAGGTGCCTATGGAGAGACGAGTTGGTCATTGGAGTTATGCTGCCATAAGCCAAGCAGTAGCAGGAGCCACCAGAGGCTGGAAGAGGCAAGGAAGGAGTCTTCCCAGAATCCAGAAGGGGAGAGACCTGCTGGTACTTTGATTTTGGACTTTCAGTTTCTCAAACTGTGAGAGAATAAATTTGTTGTTTTAATCTACCTACTTTGTGGCATAAATAGTGTTCATGGACTAAAACAAGAGATAACAAACTCTGCCAAGAAAGAGCTCCTGATCCTGTGCACCTTTGTGTCCTATGGAGAACTTCGAGCAGATCTGAATCACAGAGACACTATGCAAAAGTTTGCAGAGTAGATGGATTGTAAGGTGGAAGAAGGAGGGATTAAGATTTCAGCCCATTCCTGTCTGGAGATGCCTGAAGGCCCCAGGAAGGCTTGGAGGGGCGGGGAATGCCAAGGTGTGTAGGCGCTAATAACAGTCTTTCCCCACTGTGGGTCTTTGACTCCCTCTGAGAACACTGTTCTCACTGTCAGTAGAGAGTAAGGGATCTGATCCTACATTGTGAGTCATCAGCTGACCTGAAACAACACCTCTCCATTCCTAGCCTTGGTTTCTGGTGCATCAATTTAGAACTGAGGGGAAGACAAGGCCTTTCAAATGGAGATTTAAAGTCATTGCTTGATTTAATTTTTTTTTTTTTTTTTTTTGGTGAGATGAGGAGTTGGCTCCCATGGATGAGAGCAGTGAGGCTGTGGTTTAGTGAGAAGTGAACATCTAGGTGAAGAGAGGTGTGATAGAACAAAAAAATCATTATTTAGTCTTTATAATTGATTCTTGGTACAGAGCTTCTAAAACCCTGGAATGTGTTGTTGTCCCAGGAGACTTCACTCATTTCAGACACCAAGGTCAAATGGGGTGCCAGACTCTTCACAGTCTGCCTGCTGACAGTTGATTTGGGATTTTCACTAGACCTGCTCAGTTTTGGTCATTTTCTGGAACAAAGAACTCAGGAAAGCACATTCCTTATGATGCTTACCAATTCATTATAAAAGACACAATTCAGGGAGAGCTGAATGAAGAGACACATGGGGCGGGGCATGGGGGAAGGACTGTCTTTTGTCTGTTAATGAGATAACTCATGGAGGCCTAGGTGACTTTAGGATGAGGGGACTGGTGTGTGCATGTGAGTGTGCTTGAGTGTGAACATCCTTCAGCCCTTCCCACCTGTCCGGGTGGGGGGATTCTGGGCTGATGAACCCCCAGAAGGCACAGGTGCTCTGTGTCCCTCTCAGTTGGTATTGGAAAGTTGGTTTGGAAAAGACAGAATATTAGGTGTCAGAAAGAAACCATACAGGCAGCTGTCTGGGGTCCCAGCCATTGATCCAGTCCAGCTTGCAGACTTTCTAGCTAAACTTCCTCATCTGTTTATAGAATAGGTACCTTTCCCTGGAAGAGAAATGTGACTCAGAAGCCCAGGGCATCTCATCCTACCCATAGGAGCAAGAGCCCTACAAGGTCCCTCTGGGCTGGCCTGGAGAGGGGCTTAGGGCTGTCCTGGGTGAACTTCCAGTGTTCCAGGAACCCTGCCAAGTGCTCTGCATTCCATATTTCACAGAATCCTCATCAGTCTGAAGAGAGAGATTATTATTATAACATTTTATGATGGAGGAAGCTGAGATTCAGAGAGGTTAAATAATTTACTTTGATATACACACAAGGAGATCTAATGTGTGTAAGATTTTTCCCAGTTGCTGGGTTTTCTAATTTTGGTGGTCTGTAATGGCGTAACAACCATTCCCATTTTTCTAACAGCCTTCCTGCCCATGACTCATTGGGATACAGGGAAGACTTGTCCGTCCCAGTCCTCACATTATTTCAGTGACTCATCTGCATGCTGACCTTCCTCTTTCCTTTGGCTGATGAATGACTTGCCTCTTTCATTTGCACATTTACCTTGGAAGATTTCTAATGCCCACTCCCATTTCCCTACCAGAGCTGACAGATTCTTTAGAGAGGAAACTGCCAGCTGGTAGAGCAAAATGGAATGACTTCTCTGCCTAAGACTTAGCAGGACACCAAGGAGTGTTGCGGTCTCTGGGTGTACAGACCAGGAGTAGCCCGTTTTCCTCCTCCCTGTTCCCTGAGATCCTTTGAGCTCAGAAAGCACAGCAGCTGTTGTGGGTTCCTGTTCCTTTCTGAGTAGTGGGAGGCAACGGGGCCAGGAGTGTTCTGCCAGGAGGGTGACTTACCTGATGAAAGCTTGTTGCAGCAAAGCCCACAGAGAACTTCATGGGGATAATAGCAATGCCTTTCTTCTTCCAGTAGTTCTTCTTGTTGAACTCTTCCACTTGCATTCTTCTGCTGTGAAAGGAAGACCTTTCCAGACATTCGTTCCAGCATCTTATCAGGGTCTCAGGGCTGAATGCTTGTTTGTAGATGGTTTTATCAACTGTTTTATACATGTTTTTCTCCCTAATCTGAAGGAGATGGAAAATACAGTCAGTAGTTGTGGTAAGACAGACACTGACCACCAAACACACTTAAAAAGTCTTTCCATTAAACTACAAACTTTGGTGGGGGGGAAGGTCATTTTTTTTCTTGTTTTCTTTGAATAGCATGTGGTGCTGTAAAAACATTTTTTAAAATCTCTTCATTAATGCATCTTTTAAGGTAGCTCCCCTACCCCCAGAAGTGGCAGGCAGTGGATAATGCCATGCCCTAGGCCTAGGGAAGCAGATTTTTCTTTTTTTTCCCACGAGGTCAGAGGATGAAGCAGAGCTGATAGATTTAGTGTCATAACTGAGGATTTGTTCTGCTATAGAGGAATATATTTGTATATCATGACAGAGAATCTCCTCTAAGTTTTCCAATTGCCTTTGGAATGTATGGTCAAGTTTTTTAAAGAATTTATTTGAATAGGGTGTGTTTTATAGCTTGGGAACTTGGAACACTCAAAGAAAAAAGTCTATTGAGAAATACCCAAGGGTTTTTCATTATCCCCATCTTGTTCCAATAACAATAAAAGGATTACTGTGTTGTTATCAGCAACAACACTGGAATAATACTATGTGCTTTATGAGAACAAATATTTTAATGAATGTGAATTCATTCGATTCTGCAGAAACACTATTGAGGTGAATCATCTTGTCTTCATCTTATGGATAAGGAAACTGAGCCACAAAGAGTGACTCTCTTTGTTCTTGGGGTTCTACTTGCCTAGATTACCTTCCCACCACTTGTGCCTATTGTTCCTCAAGGCCAATCTCAAATGCCATCTTCTCCAGAAAGTTCTTCCTGATTCCTCTCCCTTTAAGCCACTGTGATGTCTTCTTCCTTTGTGCCCATGGTACATTTACCTGATGTCTCTTAAGAAATCTATTGTTTCCCTGGTACAATATGAGGTGTTCTTTTGTGTGGAGATCCTTGTCAATCTCCTCGACAATCACAAATTATACACCTGGAGGTCCCTGTTGAATTTAGGGATAAAGAAGTTCAAGAAACAATGCCTAGAGAGTCCTTGCTGGTGCAGAGGGTCTATATTGCTGAAAGAGGCTGGAAGTGGAAAAAGTAGACTAGGGTCTGATTGGAATGTGTGAGAAGTAGAAGAGCATTATCAACAATTACCCCAATTACTGAGGCTGCCTCTCCCTGTTCTAGTATTCTGTACAACCTGTGTGCTTTCTAGTATATTACATAAAATAATATTTTTTAGAGGGTATTCATTTGGCAGTATCTCTCAGAAGCTTTTCAGTGCACCAGAAGTCCATTTCTATAAGTTTAGTTTATCCTAGATATACCTACACAACGGGGTAAAATACATCCTTGGTATCTATGTAACCAAGATGTTTATTGCAACATGATTTTGATAACCAAAACGAGTAACAACCTAAAGGTGTATCATATTACAAAGTCATGAAAAAAAAAGAATAGATCATTCCACTGACATGGTAAGATGACCATGACATATTGTCAGGTAGAAAAATAAATGTATAGAATTAAATGTATATCATGGTTCCATTTTGATAAGTAACTATGTGCACATATATAGAGAGTATGTCAGTCTTTATATATATATATATATATATATATATATATATATATATGAATACAAATGGATGGGTAAAGATAAAAAAAGTAAACATGGGACTCTTAATAATAGTTACCTTTGACCAACAGGAATGAGGGATGAGAAAGAAGATGTTCACTTTTTACTTTGATTATTTCAGTGTGGTTTGAATTATTTGTATATAAATTAAAAAAAAGAAAAAGAAATTTTTGCCTTAGGAGGGAAGAAGATAGGAGGAGATGAGTTCTTGTAGGTATCTCTTAATTTATTGAATGCTGAGCCAGGACTCATTTGTTTGTTTTTTCTAGTGCATTTCCTTGGGACAAGGTAGCCAATTTGCCCCCTGGTCTGACTCTTCACCAACCTTGGTTATGACCTGATTACATTCCTACCTTTTCTGGCGGGAGGCCACATTTGGCTGCTACAGCTGTGATGCAAGATTCTGTCACCAAGGTTCCTTGTGGGAAGCCAAACCCACGAAAAGCTGTATTGGATGGCAAATTTGTCATGCATGCACGGCCCCGGAATCTGAGGTTGCGGATTTTATATGCATTTTCCAGCTTTAGTATAAGAAATTCTGTTACCTAAAGTAAAAGGAGATATTCACATTTATTGGCTATCACATCCTGCCTCCCCCTCCTTTTCTCTAAAAATCAAGTACAATGAGTAAAGACTCATCTGGAAATTTTGCACTCTTTTCACAATTAAGGATGTGGTTAGTTTTTTTTTTTTTTTTGTTTGTTTGTTTTTAATGCTACCCGGGGCACTTAACCACTAAGCCACATCCTCAGCCCCTTTTTATACTTTATTTAAAGACAGGGTCTCACTGAGTAGCTTAGGGCCTTGTCAAGTTGCTGAGACTGGCATTGAGCTCTAGATTCTCCTGCCTCAGCTTCCCAAGCTGCTGGGATTAACAGGCATGCACCACCACAGCCGTAGTTTTTTGCTATATCCCCAGCCCAACATGATTATTATTATTTTTTGAATATTTATTCATTTTTTTTTTTTTAGTTCTCAGCGGACACAACATCTTTGTTTGTATGTGGTGCTGAGGATCGAACCTGGGCCACACGCATGCCAGGTGAGCGTGCTACCGCTTGAGCCACATCCCCAGCCCAACATGATTATTTTTTGATACACATACCAGCTCTGAGTGATCCAGTGTGCATCCTCCGTTAATATAGCACTCAATGTCTAGAGCTTTGATCCGCCCATTGTTCATGAATCCCACCTGTCACCAAATGATGGACATTTTACTGATAGGTTTAAAATTAACATGCCAACAGCATCCACAGCCAAGTTCCCCTACTGAGCACAACTGGGGACAGACTTTGCTCCCTGTTCACTCTGTGGTGTACCATGCCTTGCTATTCCCTTGTTTTTCAGTCTGATTGATGAAGACCTCTTTGGACCTGAATTTTGCTGAGCCCTCTTTGTTCAACATGTAATTTTCTGTGCTTCACTGTTAAAGTTTTTGCTTGTCTTTCAGTGTGTAATTGCCACTCTTGTCTTCCTTACTCTCGGGAGATTCTCCTTCACTTTTTACTGGCTTTCTTTTTAATTTAGTCTGTGGTTTTCTCCTTGTGGAAAAGTCTCCGAGATTCCAGAATGTCCTGGGATGAATCACAGGGTCTCTCATTGTGGAACAGACTGTAGAACTGAGGTCAGTGATTGGATGTGCAGCAATAGCTACTCTCAATTCCCTAGGTAGCGAAGGCGCTTTGTAGATGGTTACAGGACCTAGAGAATTTGAGCTAGTGCTCCTGTAACTGTCTAGGAGGAGCTTAAGGCAGATCACAGGTTTCTGATGTTGCTATTCCCCTCCCTCCCACCCACTTGGACCATCTTGTTTGGATAAGATGAATGAAAAGAAAAATCCCCACCCTCTATTCTGGTATTACCAAAAGATGACTGGCCCTGGTCCCTTTGCCCTTCTGAAAACAAAGATAATACACCTGAAGAAACTATATAACTGTATGGCTCTCATCATCTATTGCAAGGAAGATATCAGATAATAGACCACAGAGCAGTTAAGAACTATAGGAAAACCCACAAATTCAAAATGTATGATAGTTTTGACAAATTCTAGACTGAAGTTTGATTTTGACTTTTCATGAGAATTGCTAAGCCAAATAGCACTCTGTATAAGGCAGCAGAAAGAATTTTTCAACTGTTTAGGATAAACCTTTCAAGAATTTTGAAAATTATTATTTATGCAAAATATCTATTATGCTAATTTACAACCAGTTCTGAATAACCAAGCAAAATATAATTAGCAAGTCTGAATGAGGATACGTGTATACCTATGTATGCATATATATTATTATATTTTATAATATATTATATTGGAAGTGACATTATATTTCTTTAAAAATAAGATAAAATTTGGATTTTTCAAAAAGTTTACTTCTCTCTTTTAAATTATATTTTGCATTATGATAATTACCAAAATGTTAACAATTCAGAACTTCTTTAATAAGTATTATTACTGAAACAGTCTCATAACCATGACACAAAGGCCAAAACAAAAGACACAAGATCCATCCTAACAACAGTAACTGCCACAATTCCAGCAGTTAGCCTCTAATTGCTCTTGGTCCTAGAAGATAATAATAGCTGTGACTATTAATTTCTGTGCATTCGAAGGTAAATAAAAAATTTAATGGCCAACCACAGTTCCTTTCTCTCTAATTATAAAAATTACTAATGCCAACAGAAGAAATAAAGTAGCGCTGTGGAATGGGAAGCTGTGATTTTAGTAGTATGGATACTGCAATAATCTAAGAGAATGACAAAGTCAGATAGGGAATCTAACTGTGTGTATGCCAATAGCAGTGCCCAAATAAAAATGTCTGTCATGCTTTGTATTACATTAGAACTATTCTAACAGCTCAATCACAAATTTTTTCAAGGTGTTTTTTTTTGGGGGGGTGTACCATAGATGGAACCCAGGGGCGCTTAACCACTTCTCCAGCCCTTTTTATATTTTATTTAGAGACAGGGTCTTTCACTGAGTTGCTCAAGGCTTTGCTAAATTGTTGAGGCTGGCTCTGAACTCATGATCCTCCTGCCTCAGCCTCCCAAGCTGCTGGCATTACAGGTGTGTACCATGGTGCCCTGCTCAATTATAAACTTGAAAAGTGGCATTGTCAACTAGATGCCAGCAAATAATTTTAATAGTGTTTATACTACAGATGCATAAAAATGCAGTTAATGCAGTAGAAGTATTTTTTTAAAGATGAGATCTTTTTATGTTTTTCAGGCTGGTTTTGAATTTCTGGACTTAAGCTCTCCTCCCACATCAGCCTCTCAAGTAGCTGTAACAACAGTCATGTGCCTCTGCTCCTGGCTTTACAATTTTAAATCCAATTGTTTTTTTAATCTGCAAAGAGGTTTTGTGACACTTTTATGTCACTTAGTGGAAACTTTCATAAAAAATAATTTTGCAGTTAAAATGGTCAGATGTTTCCAAACATTTCTACTATAAAATAATATTTTTACATTCAAGAAGTTTTGGTGTAACAATGTTTGTATCTTGAGTTTTGTTTTCCCCTTCCAGTTCTGTGTATTGAACCCAGGGCCACTCAACCACTGAGCTATATCCCTGGCCCTTTTTAAATTTTTTGTTTTGGTCAGAGTCTCTCTAAGTTGCTGAGGCTGGCCTTGAGCTTGTGATCTTCCTGTATATGGCTCCTGAGTAGCCAAAATTATAGTTGTGCACTATCATACCTCATGTTTTTGTATTTTGTGGGGCTAAGGATTGAACCCAGGGCCTTGTGCATGCTAGGCAAGCACTACCTCTGAATACCGCCCAGTCCTGTTTTTTTTTTTTTTTTCTTTAAGGAGCTACTAATATAAAATCTTATTCCTTAAGTAGTGTTTTTATCATTGTTTCAAATTATATTTTCATTATTAAACCAGATTTGTTAAAAGTTCACCACGAAATGCTATGAATATGCAAATATATAGCATCTTCATTAATATTTTAGACAATAAGATTGTTTTTACAAAATCAAAATTAGTAAAAAAGAAGAAAATCATTCAAGTAAAAGGAATTATTTTTAATAATTTGATCTTTCAGACTTACTTTATATTTTCCAAATAATGGATGCCTCCCTCCAGTTATTAACATGTCATCTTCACGATCAAGAACAAGACGAATGGGATGGCCAGTTCTAAAAAAAAAAATTGGAGTCAAATTCCCCATCCATCCCACCCACCCAACCCTCCACTCTCCCCTCCATCTACTCCTTCACCTATCCACCTACGTATTTACGCAACCCTTATTTATCTTCCCATATCCATCTATCCATTCATCTACCTATTCATCCACTATCCACCTTCCCACTCATTTATGCCATTCATTTAACTGTCTCTCCATCCATCCCATATAGATTTATGAGTTGCATGCTGTATGTACTAGACATTGATGTGAATTAATGTATGACTAAATGACTATTGTCTCTGTGATTGATAATTCAGTGTGAGAAAATCTAGCTAAAGGGATTAATGTCACATGACAGTTAAATTGCATTATTATGGCTTCAAATTGACCTTCAAGTGTGATCCTCACCCAGATCCCATTATTATGCATCTCTCTGCAGCTAGTTATAAAGGAGAGAGCTTGAACAGATAAATAAAAAGTTAACAACAGTACTATAAAAACATCAGTTAAATGTAAAGATTCCAGGTTCATTGTCTAGTAATTCTGAATCAGTGGGGCTGGCATGGGGAGGCAGGAACTTCTACAATCTCAGGAGACTTTTAATACCCAGGAGTGTTCCAGGTGTGTATGGGGGGGCGGGTCACGTAATGTATGGCAGTTGTGCGTGAAGGCAGGGTTGTATTTTAAGGCACAGGTTCCCACACTTGTCTGCATAATGGAACCATTGGGGAAGTTTTGGAATATTCCAGTCCCTTGGTTGGTGATGGAAAGTGCAGGTGCTGGGATTTAAATGTTCCCCATGTGACTCCAATGTGCAGTCACATTTGAGAACTCTGAAAGGCCCAAGGCCTTGTGAGAACACAAAGAACTGATTCTCTCTTAATCACTTGGGTCCCTCGTAGTTGAGATAGAGAGGGGTTAGATATGGAAAGAATGAAGATGAGGTTCAGATCCTGCTTTTCCCACCTGCAGACTAAGACATGTGCTCTGAACTACATGGAGGTTGTCAAAGGAAGCAGTATCTGGGGACATTACAGATTGATGAAGCCTCTGACAAAATACCAAAGAAACAGCCATAGAAAATGAACGAGTAACAGAAAAGCCAGCACCTACCATATATGAATGTTGAGGCATGAATGGCAAGTGAATCGGTGAGTTTTCCATTGCAGCAGTTAGCTCAGGAACCACCCGCTCCTCCCTTTTTTCCCATGATGAAGATGGAACCCAGGGTCTTGCATGTACTAGACAAGTACTCTACCACTGAGCTACACTCCCAGCCACTAGGAGCCCTCTTTGAGGACAAGTCATCTGTCCACTGAGATAAACAGTTTGAGGGGGTGGTACTTCCCACATACAGTGAGGCAGAGGATGGGGGGGGTTCTTTCCTCAATCCAACTGTTCTGAGGTTGAGAGTAGAAAGGAAAGCCAGAGAATAATCCACTTGGACAGAGTGCCATGTTCTACCTATAGGTCACCTTCTCTGAAGCTCAAGAATGGGCAGCCCTAGCTCTGGAGGTATTCAGCCAATAAGATCACTTTTTTCTATTTAAAGCATATTAACTTATTCAAAGTCCTGGATACATTTGACTTTTGCAATAACTCTAGAAGGGTGGGAAGGCTGAGCATGGTGCTGCGTACCTATAGTCCTAGCTACTTGGCATAACTTGAGGCCAGGAGTGTGCGAACAACCTGAGCAACATAGCAAGACTGTCTTTCAAAAAATAAAATAAAGAAAAGAAAAAGGCTGGTGATGTAGATCAGTGGGAAAGTGCTTACATAGCATGCATAAGATTCTAGGTTCAACCCCCAGTACTGAAGAACAGCCAAAACAAATGAAGAAGAGTGGGAGGGTAAGTATTAATACCTACATTTTATAAACAGAGACTGAATTGCCAGGACTATGACAGTGACTATGACAGAAGTCAAAGTGACTCTACATTCTGCACCCTCTGTGTCCTCTAGCATACTTACTTGACAGCACCCACTGCTGCAATTGCCCCAAACACAGATGGCCTTCCCACCTTCCCTCCAAAACCTCCGCCCACTCGTTTGACATGGCAGGTGATCCTGTTGATGGGGATGTTTAGAGTAGAGGACACTGTTTTCTGTAATAGTGAGATAACAGGAAGATTTCTAAGAGGGAAATGGCAAAGAATTGTTTTGTTTCCTGAAACATAACATCACAGCAGAATATGTTCACATCTACCTTTGGTAAAAAAGTGGATAGTCCAAATCTGTCTTATGGAGCTCTGCTTAGTTCATTAATCTTCACAGAATAGTTCTTCCAGAAAAAAAATGGAATTTACCAGAAGGGAAACTGTTACACCTCTGGATTCTGTTCTAAGTTGAATTCCAAGTCAAATGCCTAGACCTAAAGTCCCACAGTGTTGAAAACCAGCAAATTCCTGGTATGTATGCAACTAAACCCTAGAGCACATTGTGGCTGGGGAAGTAAAAAAAATGTTCTGTGAGGTAATGTGCTGACTCTAAAGATTATCTGTAATGATTATTTTAGAGAAAAAATAATTTAGTGGTGTCATCCAACCTGAGAATTCATCTAAGCCTAATGGAAATAGACTAAAGTGACCATGGCTCTTCTTTTATTACTTGATAATGCCAGAAAAAAATAATAAAAACATTCTGAGGTCTAAGCTGCTTTAGATCAGGTGTTCAATACTTGGATTCTAAAGTTTTGTAGGTAAATGGTTATCAACTATGGAGCTGTGGGGATTACCCGCCATGATGGAATTATGAAGGTGGGGAGTTGGGGAAGACCCTTGATCTTACCTGCACGTGGGCTGGATCCTGTGTGGACACATAAATGTCCAGTTCTTTGTCCTCTGTCTTTGGAATAACAAGCACTCTTTGTGTTTCCATGTAAAAGTGTTCCTGTCCTCCAACGTGGACCTCTCCTGTTAAGCACAAGCACAGGACAACTTCTGAAGGTGTAATGCTGCCTGGAGGCCACCATCTTGGGGAATTCAAAAACAAGTGAGACATGGACTGACTAGTTTGCATTTGCTCTGACTAAGGAATCAGGCATGTGTCTTATAGCAACTGGAGACAACAGTTGTGGAAGTTAAATGTGTCAGCTTCTGTTCCTTACTCTACCCTTAACTAATCACAATCTTAGGGATTTTTCTTCTATTTATTCTGCTGCTTATCCCCCAAATACAACACACACACACACACACACTCACACACACATAATTTGATTTTTTTTTTTTGATGATGGTCCTGGGGATTGAATCCATGGCCCTGAGCATTTGAAGCAAGTACTCTACCAATTAATCTATCTCCCTATCCCACACATAATTTGAAAGGAAGAGGTATAAATTCGACAAAGCCCCAAGATTTTGGAGGATGATCTCTTTGGTGAGAAATTACATGCTCTTGAGGTATTGTTCAGTATTCAATCAGGCAAAATTCTACTAGCCATCCTGAGTTGCTTACCTTCAACAATTTGATCCACTTTTTCAAATGCCTCCTTAATGTTTCCTTGCTCAAGTTTTTTTTCAGGGCATAGGAATGAATTGTGTTTTATGGCATCCTGTGTAACAGGGGAAATCACAAAAGCCAGTTAGTCCTACTTTTTTCTTCCATCAGCTGTTTTTTTCTCTAATGAAAGTTACTATACTCCCCCAAATCACTGTCTCCTGGGATGTATGAAAGGTGTCAAGTAAGCAAGTACTGGAGCAGCAGGCCACTGTAGAGAGGGATGTCAAAAGGATTGTCTTCCAGATTTGCAGAGAAAACCGGCAAGAATTAGTGAAATGTTAAGAAGGATGCTGAGAATTGAGGTCTGGGGGCAGTAGGATGGTCTAGGATGATAAATGCTCATTCCTCATTTTTAATGTGGATCTCCAGGGAACAGGCAATAGGTTCCAATGTCTATAAGTGAGTTTCTGTTCCCCTTTTTTCAACTTCTCCTTGAGAAAAACCACTGATATTAGACTAGATGCACATGCAAGAACCCCTAACTCAAGAATCTGAAAAATTGAGGCTGTGTTGAGGCACAATAGGCGGGTCCTTACACATCCTGGGGCAAGACATCTTGAAAATAATATAGAAAGTTTGTTCATTTCTTTGAGTATATGGGATATATCACAAGAGCCTTCCCAGTTCTTTGTTCCATGGTGTGTGTGTGTGTGTGTGTGTGTGTGTGTGTGTGTGTGTGTGTGTGTTTGTTTTGTTTTGGTGATGACAATAAGATGAACTGATTCACATATGAAGACTGGATGCCATTCCATTCTATGGACTGACCTACCAGCAGCTGATCCTTACTTAACCTGTGGATCCCAGCTGTCTTCCATTACTTCAGAAGGACACTCCTCTGCTACCTTCTTAGACTCCCCAAACCTAGGAGTCAACCTTTCTTGCTGATGATGATGACAGTGATAACATTTGCACCATGCACTGAACAATAACAGTATATTTACATGTCTTCTCACACTAATTTCATGATTATCTTGATTTTCTAGACAAAGAGACTGGGCTTAGAGCAATGAAAATAACTTTCTCAAAGTCATGCTGCAAAGAAGTGAGGGAGGCAGTGTTCAAGCCCAGGCTCAGTTTTCAGAAACATCTTGCCTCATAATGAACACCTGATTTCTCAAAGCCACAAAAACCAAATCATATAGTTGAAAATTTCATGTTATGCTATACTGAGATCTCAATAAGTCACCCTCTGCATGTACAGGGATGTTTACTTCCATATTGTAAATAGTAACTGAGATTTGCAGGCTCTAACTCAATGAGATCAAGGCATATAATTTTCTTACAAATGCTGTTTTTAGTGAGTGCTAATTATGAGCCAGGCACTGTTCTGAGCACTTTATACATATGAACTCATTTAGTTTTATGATGAGTTTTATGATGAGACATATTATTATTACCCCCAGATTACAGATGAAGAAACTGGCATAGAGATATTAAGTAATTTGCCTAAGGTTACACAGCTAGTAAGTAGTACAGCCTTGATTCAATTTTCCCAGTTTAGTTCTTGCACTTGTCCTTTTAACCACTACTCTACACCACCTTGTGTGCATTTATGTGTAATACAGATTCATATAAATAAACAAATTAATAGATGGATGAATCAGTATTGGTATATATGACTCTTATCACCTGCTTTTGGTCACAAAAGAATTATTTCCTGATTCTGGATCATCCTATTGAGGAAATTCTAGATCCCTATACACTCTGAATCTCAGAAAATTTCATGGTGTATCCTCTGGGTGCAATTTCCCCCTTGGTTAAAATGGGGTTCAAATTGAAGTTTCAAAAACCCGTACTAAGATCCTAGGACAACTTGGGGAAAGTGAGTGAGCCAAGAAAAATGGCCTAGACTCTTTGCCAACTTGGCAAATGGGAATTTGGAGCAGAGTTAATTTGGTTTAGAAATATTAAGAAATACTTTTTAAAAGTTATTTGAATATTGAGCAATTTGTACCTTTTAGGAACATTTTAAAATGCTCAAATGATTCACTAGGGTCTTCAATACTTTTTATGACCTGTCATAAGCACACAAACAAATTAGTTCTGAACCTGTCTCTTAGAACCTGCAAATCCTAGCTGCTGCAGTTGAGATCTAGAATGTATCCCAGAGGCTTGGTGGTGGAAACTTGATTAGGTCACTGGGGGTGTGTCCTTGAAAGGGACTGTGGGACTGTAGTCCCTTCCTCTTTCTCTTTTTCCTGTCTCAGCCACAAGTTTTGCTCTACCATGCACTGCTGCCATGAAATACTACCTCACCATAGACCCCAAAGCAACGGGGCCAATGGACTATGAATTGGTCTGACACTGTGAGCCAAAATCAACCTTTTCTCTTTATAAGTTGATTATCTCAGGTATTTATTACAACAATGAAAAGTGAGCTAACATACCCATCCTCACTTGAATTGTGTTCTCCATTTGCTTTCCTGGAAATATCATCTGAAGTCCATTATATAGACTCCAATTGAGAGTGTAAAATTTCCATGAAATTCCACCATAAACGTCTCACTACTTTTGGGCTCCACCTTGGAAACATTATTTTTCTCAATGTCCATTCTCATTATCTTCCACAAGTAATAGAATCCCTAATTTTTAATGGATACATAGCCACATGGAATAAAATCTACATTTTCCATCTCCCCTTGAAGGTAGGTGTGGCCCGTGACTAGGTTTTAATCAATGAAATATAATTAGGCATTTATAACTGTGAAGTGTCCTGAAAGAGAGGGGGTATTCCTGTCCCCATTACCTCATTCTCTCTGTTGTTTGGAATGTGGGTTTAATGGCCAGAACTTCAGTAGCCATTGAGGACCAGAGGTGACCTGAAGAATGGAAACCATGCATACAGAGCAACTAGGTAGAAGGAGGCTGGATCCCTGACACAAGAACCCATATGCATGGCTTAAATATGTCCCCCATAGTCCATGTGTTGGAGACCCGATCCCTAATACAATAGTCTTGTGAGACAGGAACTTCAAATTAAAGAGTTGATCAGGTCACGAGGGCTCTATTTTCTTGAATGAGTTGATGCAGTTATTATGAGAAGGTTCTTTATCAAGAAGAGAGGGGGTTTGTTATAAAAGCAAGTTTGGCCTTCTCTTGCTCTCTCTCTCACACATGAACATGAACCCTCTATTGACCTTCTATCTTCTGCCATGGGATGATGAAGCACCATATGCAACCACCTAGTCATGGACTTCCCAGACTCCAGAACCATGAAAAACACATTTCTATTCATTATAAATTACCCATCTTAGGATTTCTGTTGTGGCAGCACAAAACAGATTAAGATACCACATAAGCTCTGGATAAACCACTGCTAGACTTTTTGAATGTGAGACAAAAACTTGTACACTGAGATTTTTTTAAAAAAATGTTCCTTGGAGTCAAAGATAATTTCAGTTCATACAAATAATATCTTCCAGAGAAAACTTACTTTTCCAGGGAAAGCCAATCCCCCTCCTCTCCAAAATTCCTAAATCAGTATTGGACATTAAGATATTTACAAAGGCACTTTGATTCTACAATCTTAGTGTGAGACCTGCCAGCCCTGCTTACCTCTATGGTGAAGATTACAGGTTCCAGATCCTCATAGGTAATCTTTATCTTTTCAATTGCCTGCTTTGCCTGTATATCTGTCTCTGCAACTACAGCACAGATAACGTGGCCCACGCAAAGTACCTGTGGAAAGTACATGCATAAAGCAGATAGAACATTAGGGCAGGAATAGGCAGCTCTACTTCACCAATGCCTGGTATCTTAGATGTCATTTTTGAGCAATAATAACCACATTGGACTCATTCAACTATATGTGTTTGGCTCAAACTTCTAAAAACTTTTAATGTAAAATTTAAATAATATAGACAGCTCCATTTGCTATTTTGCTCAGTGACTATAAGTTCCAGAGTAGATTTGAGATTGATTGTGAACTGAATCTACTGTGTCCTCTGTTGTGCTTGGTTTACATGTATCTCTTTCACAGATGTTACTTTAGAGTTTAAGGATAAGCAAAATATTTTTTGTTCAATGTGACTCCTATAGTAGACTGAATTGTAACCTCTCCCCCCACATCCCTGCCATGGAAAATTTACATGTTGAAGCCCTATCCCACCCCCCACCCCATGTGACTGTATTTGGAGATAGGACTTTGACAAAGGTAATGAAGGTTGAATGAAGTCATAGGGCAGAAACCTACTAAAATGTGACTGGTGTCTTTATAAGAAGAGGAAGATACACCCTTAAGAATGGAATGCTCTTGAGAAAAGGCATGCCTATGAGGATTCACTGAAAAGATTACCTTCTGTAAGCTGGGAAGAGTCCTCAGGAGAAACCCAACCTGCCAACACCTTTATGTTGGACTTAGCCTCTAGACTTGGGAGAGGAAGCCTCTAGACTTCTGTTGTTTAAGCCTCCCAGCTGTGGAATTTTATTATGGTAACCCAAGCAGACTAACATAGTTCCAGACAACCAACCTTTTCAGCTGGAGTTCAACTAAAAGAACAACCTTATGGCTGGAGGAGAAATTGTTTGGGTCTCATTGAGAGATGACAGTAATACCTAACACTAGAGCCTTCATTATGCCAGTCACTGTCCAAAGCTCTTTGAATGTATTAACTCATTTAAATCTTACAACTACACAGTGAAGTGGGTGCTATGTTCATTTACTCTTTACAGATCATGAAACCCAAGGGCACACAGCTATGGAGTGGAAGGGCTGGAACAGGAACCTGGACTGTCTGGTCCCAAAGTCAAGTGCTCAATAAATAATTGTTAACTTTGAATTAAAAAGTCAGAGAAAGAGCTAGGGATATAGCTCAGTTGGTAAAGTGTCTGCCTCACAAGTACAAGGCCCTGGGTTCAATCCCTATCACCCCAATAAAAAAAGAAAAAAAAAGTCAGAGACAATAAGAGCAATTTTATTAAAAATGGAGTGTGTGAAGGAAGGTGGGACCCGGAAAGAGGGTTGGTTCAGGAAGGAAGGGAATTCAGAACAAATTAGAGGGAGTGGTTGTTTTTTGGTGTGCTCTCACTCTCTCTCTATCTCTCTCTTTATTTATTTATTTTTTAATTGTAGTTGGACACAATATCTTTATTTTATTTATTTTTATGTGGTACTGAGGTTTGAACCCAGGGCCTCGCACATGGTAGGTGAGTGCTCTACCGCTAAGCCACAACCCCAGCCCCTGGTGCTCTCTTTTCTAGATCTTTCTAGGGCATTCTATCCTGATATAGAAAATTTTTTCTTGCATTTACTCTTTAAAAAATTTTTTTTCTTAGTTGTAGATGGACAAAATACCTTTGTTTTATTTATTTTTATGTGGTGCGGAGGATCGAACCAGTGCCTCACACTTGCTAGGCAAGCACTGTACCTCTGAGCAACAACCCTAGCCCCACATTTAGTCTTCAGATGAGGGTAAATGGTCTCAAGAGCAAATGGTACTTGAATTTTGACTGTAATGTTTCCTTTTGCTAAATTATTTCCTGACTCCAGAAAAGTAGTGCTGAGTAACAAGGTTAGAGATAAAGAGGAGCTAGTGGGTGGCACTTCTACCTCCCATTGGTAGAAAGAGCTGGGAGGCAGCTGAAGGTGGTACCTCATTGGTTATCTGCACAAAGTCACCTGGGAAGGTGTGTTCCATACTCACCTCATCTACAGCCAACAATTTGTCATCTTCACCACCATTGGTGCCTGGAATGTCTTTAGCTGTTATCACATCAACCACCTCAGGTAGTTCAAGGGCCTCAGAGAAATCGATTGATCTGAACATAGAGAGATATTTAAGAAGTAGAAATCAGCAAGATTTGAGGCTTCAAACCTGCCATGGGTCAGGCTATATGAGCAATGACCAAACAGATTTCATTTTACCCTGAGACTCCATGTCATAAAAGAAATGCTTCTGCCTTAGGAATACCTCCGTCTCTGTACCTATCAATAGTTGCTTACCATAGCATGTTTGGCTACATAAAATGGCAATTCTTATAGAATGTAAAATTGTTCTCTTTTGGGTCCCAGTTTTCTCGGACAATGTACCTTGTCAGAGATTGATTGTCTAGACATTAGTAACCATTCTTTAATTTGTACTCAACTAGGGTCATTTTGACCCATTTCTCTTCTTATGATTATGCAAAGTCCCGTGGGAAATATCAATGTACCCAGAAATGAAATTATGATTATGGGCATTGCATTGTTTCACTAATGGCTCAATTCAGCTTCTGTACCCCAGCTTGCTTGCAGCTATGCCAACCTGGATAAGGTTCTTGCCTCTAAATATCCTAAAACCCTCAGGTTTGAGGCTGTTCCTTGCAGAGACAGTTTGGGGTCCTGCAGGGAGCAGTCACTGGCCAGTTAATAAAGACTCTCCAATTCAGAAAAAGCTGAGACTTGTGTTTTCTGAGCGTCTTGCCCCATAACAGAACATGGTTGAAAATAAGAACATATAACAATGAATTCACCCTGATCAATCAGAATGGACCTAACATGGAGTTGGGTTCAGGGGACCCCCCCCAATGGGCTAGGGAGTAACCTTCCAGTTGTGTGTATGGGGTGACAAGTGCTAGGGAAGGGGCAGTGTGACTGGCAAGGGACCTTCTCTGGAAGCTTAGAATATTGGTCATTGTTGAATAATGAAGTGTGCTACAATGTTTTCCACCAGCTGCATATCAGCCCTGCATCAGAGATACTTCTTTGAGATCAGTCTGAGGCTACAGCAGAGACATATCTTGTGAGGTTAGGAAGGAAACAAGAGACCTATGACTGACCGTATCTCTATTTTATGATAGTAATCTTCCTCCTCTGGGGCCTTGTGACCTTTTCTTTATTTGTTTCATTGTAGGTTCTTTGAGTATATGACATCGTAGAAGAAACAGGCGAGTTCTTATGAAGGAATCCCTAGCTATGCTTTTAAAAAGTTTTTGATTTACTTACATAATTTTTGCATGAGCCCTGGTACTGGTCACCAAAGCCATGAAAAGTTCTTTATCCACCCTGGGAATGTCATCACAAAATATGGCTTCCCCCGTGGCATGTTTAAGACCTGACAGGTGCATGATGGGGCGTCCAACTGGATCTCGAAGAGGTTGGTGAGAATCTACTTTCTGTAAAGGAAGACAAGAGTTGCTCTAAAAACCTTATATCTCAACAAGTGGCCTGGCCAATCACAGGCACTCCTGATTCAGGACTGAGCAGCCAGGTGGTACTCTCAGGCAAAGAGCACTGGAGTAGGTCAGATGACTAGTGTGACAACTTAGTGTTGTAACTAGACTGGAGAATTGTCATTCAGTTATGTGACAATGCCATAGGCAGGCCAGCCTTTGGCAAAATAGTGAAATAGGTAAAGGGGCACTCCACCTTCTCCTTTTGTGGTGCCATCATTTTAGAGGGTCTCCCTGTTCTGCTTGCTCACAGGTCTAGTGATCCACCTGTCCACATTTAAAGAATCAAGATAAGGCCTATAGGGATTTAGTTCCCAATGAGGGACCAAAATCCAAGTCAGAAACCTGAGTATTGACTCTCATGGCCTCTGGTAAAGGGTAGGGGATTGGTTATGGAGTCCCCCAGATCCAGATTACGATGTCCTGGCCACCCCTGGAAGTGGCACAAAGTCATCAGCAGGAGTATAAGGAGACAGAGAAAGATTTAAGAATTTATTCTGGAGCTGTTCTCAGGGAAGAGGTGTGTGTCTGTAGGGGTAGGGAAGGGACTGTGCTTCAGTAAAAATGGATAATTGTTAAATTGTCCTTCCAGAAGAGTGAGTTCAGTTACGTAAAGGACTCTTGCTTGCTGATTGGTGATTAAACTTTTGCAATCAGGGCCAGAGGCTGAAACTTCTGCTCAGCTGCACTTCTGAGTAAATATGAAACAAATGCCCAAAGAACATCTCTTTGAAAAGACTATAATTATTAGTCTATAGATTGGTCAACCTTAAGTACATCTAGTGGCAGCTTAGGCCTGAGCTTGGATTCCAGAGTCACCCTGACTTGGACATAGGAACCACTGGAAAGTCAAAACTCAAAATCACAACTCTGAAAAACTTGCTCATTTTGTGCAATTCCAGCTTATCTTTTCGTGTTTAGGTTTCTGTGAAATGAGACTCACTGACCTGGTATGTTTGGACTCCCTGGGGTATTGTGACTGGGAAATCTTCTAGAGCACTTAGGAACCCATCTGAAATTTCCGGATAACGACTGCTGCCCTGCGATGATTCAGCACAACGAAAAGAGGCTGGTTAGTCTAGATTAAGTTGGGTTTGGGTTTATTAGAGAGTAACTTGACAAATGTTACTCTTACATAACCAAAGTCCACAGTGCGCCCCAGGGTTTCGCTTTTTATGACCCCCACACCCTTGTCCTTTCCCACACAATAAGGACCTGGCCTGACTGGTTTGAATCTGTTTCCCTGTCACCTGGAGGGAGAGGCCAGCTGGTGAGCTGGGGCAGAGGGTATGGGTGGTGGAGAGAAAATGTTGGACAGGATAAGCCATCCCAGAATAAGCTGTTGTCTACAAAAAGGCCCAAGTCCTGATTGCTTTTCTCAGGAACTCAGCTTTTCTGGGACAGCAGCAGAATTATGCATCAGTGAAACATGTCAAGTGTCTTGACTCAGAAATTAAATAGCAGGTCTTCATCTGAGTCACTGAAATGCAGATGTTTTAGAACAGCGGGCTGTCGGGGTAGGGGTGGCTGGAACAGGGTACAGGGTTGGGAGAGAGTTATAATCATGGGAAAAAGTTGTAATTATGGTCAGGGGATGGGAAGGAGAAGGAGGAGAAGAAGAGAAAGGATACTTTGCTTAATTCATTCTAGAAAAAGAAAAGTAAAAATTTTCCCCAGAATTTTACAATCAGAAAATCTAGAAAGCTACTTAAATATTAGTATAATAGTATATAATATACATCAGTTTTGGTCTTTCTTTTTAATTTGCAGAAATTTAATCTGATCGTGGGCATCAGGAACAGATCAGTTTTGGTCTTTTTGAAAAATAACATTTTATTTTACATTTTATATTGCATTCGCAATTCTAGAATAAGCAAAATGAATATATAGTGCCACAAAGCAGATCAGTGACTGCCTGGGCTGGGTTGGGCTGGTGGAATTAACATTCTATGTTTAGTTTGAGGTGGTGGCTATGTAGGTATACACATTGCCAAAATTCACTGAATTTAAACAATGAATTTTATTGGAGGTAAATTATATATCAACCAAGTATTTTAATTTTAATTTTATTTTATTTGGGGCACTCAACCACTGAGCCACATTCCCAGCCCTATTTTGTATTTTACTTAGAGGCAGGGTCTCACTGAGTTGTTTAGCACCTTGCTTTTGCTGAGGCTGGCCTTGAACTCTTGATCCTCTTGCTTCAGCCTCCTAAGCCACTGGGATTACAGGCATGTGCCACCATGCCTGGCCAATCAAATTTATTTTAAAATAAAAAAGCTGTATGCTGCTGGAGAAAGGAAGCACCAGATATTTGAGTGCTATGGGCACACGGTGAACTGTGGCCTGAAGATAGTTTGGTACCCTGAGCCTCATGTAGCACTTTGGGGCTGAATCCCAGGAACAGGATGGGCCCAGAACAGGTGACAGGTTATAGCATAGACTGCCCACAAGACAGTGAATAAAAGCAGTAGGGAAGCTGGGGGTGTATGGCTGCAAGGAGCTAATAAGAGCCAGATGTCATGTATTGAAGTCTGTCCTTCCAAATTTATAAGTTGGAGTCCTAATCCCCAGTATCTCAGAATTTGACCTTATCCAAACAAAGAAAAGTCTGTATACTGTAGAGGTCATCAAGTTAAAATGAGATCATGAGGATGGGTCCTGGTCTAATATGGTTGCTGTCCTTATCAGAAGGGGAAAATTTGGCACAGCCATGTAGACAGAAGGTCTTGTGAAGGCAGAGTCAGAGATGTTCCCCTACAAGCTAAACAAACCCCAAAGATTGCAGCCACTGCCAGAAGCTAGGCAAGAGGCACAGAGACAACTCTCACAGCCCTCAGCAGGAACCAACCCTGCTGATAACTTGATCAAGGACTAAGCCTCCAAATTGGTGAGATAATAAATGTCTGTTGTTTAAGCCACCCACCCAGTCTGTGATGCTTTGTTACAGGATGGCTAGCAAAATACATTAGAGCACTTACAGGCACAGAGAATTGTCTTACTAGGGTCTTCAGTTCCTTCAAAACCTTTAGGTAGAACTTGAAGAGGAAGCTGACTACTAGAGTCCTCTTGAACTCCACCTTGCCACCCGGAGCTGAGCCTGGGAGGGAGACTTCATCCAGAACCAACCTGCAAGCCTCGTCCAGCATCAGCTCATTCCAGTGCCTGGTTGCACAGAGGCAGGAAGGAGCCAGTTAAAGGGCAGTCTTTATTGCATGGCATATGCTAGATACCAGAAGGTAGCGTTTTAGAGATCCCAGAATTTCCTTTTTAGAGTTGTAAGGAAACTTAGATATCACCTTATTCAACCTCTATGGAAAATTGAGGCCTAGGGAGGCTGCTTCAATTGGCCCAACTATCATGACAGGGTGAGTAAGGGACCTGTTCCATTGCAACATAAATCAAGAAAGTTCCAGAGCTAGAAGATAGAAGAACTAAACAGACTAAACTAAACAAGTACTAAACAGACCATTTAGTCCAGTCCCATTATGAACCTAAATGGATTCAGAACTGGATACTGTCTTTGCTGAGGAAGAAATTGCGTGTGCCACATTGTAGAAGTGTGAGGTGCTGCTTGGACACTGCTGTGGCTTGCTGAGTGTTGATTTGCATAAGACAATGACAGCCAGACCGGGAATAATTGCCTGCTGGCTGAACTTGGGCCTGGGCTATTTTTGTTGTGTCCCTTACCCAAAGAGTGGCATCCAATTAATCCAAGTCAAATAAGGTTTGATTCATTCAGCAAAAATACAGAAGGAGCAAGCAGTGATTTTATAAGTAGGAGTTTCCATCTTTCCAGAGTTTTATCAACACTTGCCAATGCCAAATTTCCACTTGGTTTTTCAATGTTAAGTTTCACCCTTAAGGTGCAGGGCTCATTGCTTACCTGCCGAGGAGCTGCTGGCAGGATTTATGTGCACTGACTGTAGCAGTCCCTACACCTCCGTAGGCAATGCTCAGGTCCTCGATGGTGTCTGTGCCTTCTTTGAACAGGACTCGCATGCCAGCATTGACATCTGGCAAGGCGTTTTGCAGGCACTGAGCCTGTCGGAAGGCGAACACAAATTCCCACTGTGGAGACAAAAATCAATCTGGGTTATCAGATAAGGCAGAACGATAAGTGCCTCTACTAAATCACTTAGAGTCACTCAAAAGGGACACAGACAACACTTAGCACAATTGGAGGACAACCGGGCTGACTTCTTGTTCGAGGTGAGAATGTCCTTTCCAAGACCTATCTCCAAGTTCCCAGACACCTCAAGGATCAGGAGTCTCTGTGCACTTTCCCTTTGAGCCTGGGATGACTCTACACAGAATGCTGCAGAAACTTGCATCAGGGACATGAACTTGTGCTGGATCTGTAGGAGCTCCTCCCTCTAGGCTTCAGATGTCTTTGACTCCCAGGAGGACAGAGAAGCCCTAAGAATACAGGGGCTTGTAACATTCAAAGAGACACAACTCTTTTTTTTTTTTTTTGTAGGAAAAAATAATCACTTTTTCATTTGGCAAAACTCAAAGGGGAGCTGAATGGAGCTTTCCAGCTGTGGACTAGGGAACCCTATATCAGGAGCAGGGCCAGGGGATGATGGTTGCCCAGTGGACCCCTTGGTGCCATAACCACTAGTGTGCCCAGGTGAGGCCAATGAAGACAGCCTGTGCCCAGCAGGGCTTCTCCATTTGTGCTGGTCCAATGGTGATCATGTTTGAGTCTGCCTGTTTTTCTCTTCCAAAAGCTTCTAAAATTGAGCTGCCTCCTGATTTTATTTTTATTTAATTTTTTTTCTGTGCTAAGATTGAACCCAGAGTCTTGAACATGCTAGGCTCTACCACTGAGCTATATCCCCAGCCCTGTTTCCTGGTTTTAGATTGCTATGAGTCTGTGTGTGTGTGTCTTGTACCCTTCTCTCTGGAAAGACTCTCCTCTTGGATTTAGGTACAGCTTTGGGGACAGGTAAAGGAACAGAGAGTGAGGGCAGGGATCACCTTCACAGCCTCCCATGTGGTCACATCAACTCCAAGGGTCCTGTGCTAGCAAACATCTGGGGATCCTCATTCTTCTGTGAACTGTTGGGGTTGGCAAGGGTGAGGAGTGCGGAGGCTGAGCTCTGGACTCCATTTCCTTGTGGGTCAGGTAGAGAAGCTCCTTTCCACAGCCAGAGAGCTTTGACCCCCGGGGAACGCAGGGGCATGGAAGCCTGACCCAGGTTCTCAGCCAGGCTGCACCCAACAGCTGAAACAACAACCTCAAATCCACACCCTGGAGCTATTGGCTCCAGGCTGTCCGAGGGCCATGGTGCTGAACCAATCCACAGTGGGACAGGAGCCAGGTTTTCAGGGCAGAGTTATTTTCCTTCCATTTGTTTTCAGATTTCCAAAGATGACTGGAGTCCATTATGAAAAAGGAAAAACAAAGACAGCAGTGGGAATTCTTACCTTTCGAGAGTGAGGGATATACACGGATTCCAAAATCTCCTCTGGCTTAAGGTCTGCGCTTGCCAACCCAGCAAGAAAGTGTTCGTTGAGAGGAATCTGCCGCGTACCTTCTGTGGAAGAAAATGATATTTTTTGCATAGTCACAGCCAGAAAAGCAAGATTATTCTGCACTTTTAAATGTTGGCAGCGAGCACAGAGAAGGTCCCCTTTCTCTGCACAGATCGAGGCAGAGGTCTGAGTCTATGGCACATCACCAGGGTCCCATTCCCTTTGAGCACTGAGGTCACCTGTGCCGCAGGCCTACCAGGCACATGGTCTGGTCTTTCAGAAGGGGCTGGCTAAATAGAACCCGCCACAGCTTAGGATAGGGGCATAGACCTAACTGAAGCAGATACAGGGCTGTTTCAATTATTAACAGACTTCAGATCATTGGTTTTGCTTTTTGTTCTTGCTGCTGTTGGCTCCAGAGACAGATACCTAAAACTCTGAAGAAAAATGAGCAGAGTGTAAAACCTCCTTCCAGCTCAGCTGTCACCTTTTGGTGATCAGAGTCATGTCCTCTGGCTTGGAAATCTGGCTTATGGCACTGAAGGATGTGCTGAGAAGGGGTCAAAATTGCAGCCCAGGAGGGACACGGGTTCCATTCCTGGCACCATTAGTGTTATGTGGGTTGGAAGGCAGGTGTATTGAGAGAGACAGGGAACACCGTGAGAGCCCCTGTTGATCTCTGCCCACCTGCCGTGCTGTTGGTTCAATGGGCTGATCTGCTACCTTCCCTGGAGCAGGGCCTACCACCCCTGAGGCAGAGACGGTTTTGGTTGAGCTAGGAAAGCAGAGGCCATAAGCTGAAGACAACAATGAACACCCAGGTAGAAGAACAGTTAGTACCACTGTAGGAGAAGGCCCTGGATGGTAACTGGGTTGCCCCAGAGTCTTGGCTTCTCTCTTGTCTTTGGGGGTTGAGCTGGGTCATCTCAGACCATAGACCTGGGGCACTCAGAAAAAAGTCTGGCTTTGGTCAACAGGGTATACCCTACCTCTCCTTCCTCATTGCAGGCCTCAAAGACAAATGGGGTGATGTGGGGATGAATGCTTGTCTTTAGTCCTCAAGCTTCTCCTCATCACATCTGAATTCCCAGCAGTGAGGGGTAGAACCATGTTGGCCAGAAGTAACCTCAGGGAGGCATGTCATGCCTGGGTGGGCATACCCTGGAAGTCCGCATGGGCAGAGGTTGTGACTGCTCCTCTATGCCTGGGGCACTGTCAGCATCAAGGAGGTGCCAGCTAGTCAGTGGCCCACTGGGTGAGTGGGAGGGGCAGAGAGAGTGAGTATTGGCAGGTTGTAGGTGAGGGAAGCAGAAGAGGAGTTCTAGAGCTGGAGGCCCTGTGGGAAAGGCAGAATGGCCTAGGGAAGAGAGGGTGCACACTCAATTGGAAATCAGACAGACTGGGAGTGACACCTACCATGGTCGGAAAGCATGTCCCCTCCAAAACTCACATAGTCCATGAAATTTAATTGTCATTATAAGGGTATTAAGAGATGTGAACCTTGAACTGTAGGTATATCAGTGACAGAGCACTTACACAGTATGCACAGACCCTATGTCTGATCCCCAGTGCCACCAAAAAAAAAAAAAAAAAAAGCAAAAAATTAAAATGAACTCCTCCCAAAAAACAGGAAATGTAACCCTTAAAAAATGATCAGGCCATGTTCTTTCTGATACACGGATGCTAACACACAATAAGTGGGGTGGGAGCATGAATAGAAATACTTTGGATTAGACAAAGGGGAATGAAGGGAAAGGAGGGGGAAAGACAGTAGAATGAATCGAACATAACTTTCCTATGTTCATGTGTGAATACATGACCAGTGTAACACTACATCATGTGCAACCACAAGAATGGGAAGTGACACTCCATGTATGTATGATATGTCAAAATGCACTCTACTGTCATGTATAACTAACAAGAACAACAGCAACAATAAAAATGATCAGGCCTGTGGGCTCCACATTCATGGGTGGGATTGCTGGTAAAATGAGCTCGGCTCCTTTTTACTCTCTCTGGCCTTTCTGTCTTCCACCATGGGAAAATGCAGCAAGAAGGCCCCTCCCAGGTGTCAGCAACTTAATGTTCTCACAGTCTTCAGAACCGTGAGAAATATGTTTCTGTTCTTTGTAAATTACTCAGTCTCATATTTTTGTTTTAGCTGCTGGGAGGTGTATGGATCAGAGATGGGCTGTGTCAAGTGTGCAACACAGCCAGGCCTGGAGCTAGCCTCCAGTCAAGGGGGTGTTGGAATCCTTGGGGCAGCCAGAGGCAGTGTGAGTGCACAGGGCACCTGGGGAACTGGGATGGGGGTTTAGCAGGGAGCTTCCTCCAGGAACTGTTCCTCTCAGCAGCAATTAGAATCAATCACTGCTTTCCCCCTCGCTCCAGGGACCCATGATGTCCTTGAAACATCTGCTGTGTGTCCTCACCAGAACCGTGGCTTCTTACACAGCACCTGAGGGGGAGGAGTGTAATGTGGGGAGCCTCACACTGGGGGCTGGTGGAGGAGGACCATGAGGAGGAGGAAGCAAGGAGTGGTCCCCTGGGCACAGGCAGGGTGCTCACTGCAACCTTGCTCTCACCCCAGCCTTACATGCCACCCCTGGTGCTTGCTGGCCAAGCACAAATAAGTGAGCTAACACCCAGGCTAAGTGTGGGTGTGGTCCTGGACTGTGTGTGCACACATGTTGTGTGGGGGGTCAGAAGAAAGCTCCAGCTGCCCCTCACATCAGTGTGCCTTCCCCCATGAGCTATTCTCCCCATGGAGAATTGACAGCAGGAACCTGGGCCTTGACTTAAAGTAATTCCCTAAAAAATTCATGAAAAATACACTAAATCTCTAGGTGGTGTGCAGAGTGTTCAGGGGTCGCTTACCTTCTGACAACAGATTGAGGGTGGCATTGCCCACAGCAAGAATTGGATTCAGGTCCGAATAGCAATGCCGGCTTATAATATGACCCCCTAAGGACTAAGAAGAGAAAGTTACAGCTGCGTCAGTCTCTCTCAATTCTTCCACCCCATGGCTCCTGCTTATGGTCCTCTCAGTGGCTCTGAAGGGGTGAAGGGGGCATCTTGGGCAGTTTGGACCTTTCCTTCCTTGCAGAGGGACTCAGCTCAGGGTGTCAGGGAGGCCCCCCCGCCCAACTCCTTTGGATGGGAAGAGGAAATGAGGATAACTGACCCTTCCTCAGCACTGGGCATGTTTCACATGTCTACTGTCATGCCTACTCATGAAATCATCCTTGTAACCCAGCAGGATGGAGGCTGTTATCCCTACTTTACCGGTGAAGACACTAGGGCACAGAGAAATCCTGAAACTTGACCCAGGTCCCCAGCTAGGACATGGCAACCCTGAGATTCGAACCCAAGTTGGCTTGGTGGCCAACTCTGACAGTGCAGGAAGCTGAGGCACAGCCACAGAGCTGCCAGCCTGCCTCCGTACTCAGGGCCTCATCCTCATGCTCACGAGCTCTGGAATAACCAGTCTTCATGTGGGCCCCATTGGGGGGCAGGGGAACACACACTGTGGCAGGATTGTCCCTTGGTTCTGCTTGGGAGACCGTACTCAGACCTGATGAAGCCTGTAGCACCTCAGAACTCGGGAGGGAAATGACTGCCCAGCCAATACAGTGCTCTCCTCCCTGCACTGTGACGGGATCCACAAGGACCTCCCAGTTGTCCCATGGTCTGAGCTAGAACATAGGCGAGGGCAGGGTCTCCCTTACCAACCTGCTCCTCTATGAACATCTTCATCCTCAAGATTTTTTCCCCCCTGAGCTGAAATATGCCTTGCTGGACTCTCAACTATGGGCCGTATTTCTACCCTTTGTGATCTATGGAGTAGCACATCTGTCCCCAGTGTTTTATAAATATCGGAAGGTGTCTCTCATGCTCCCTTTGTCTACCCCCCACCCCTTTTTGTTATGTTTCCACCCTCTCTTGCTACCATCTCTAGGGGGTCTAATCAGAATTCCTGACTGGGGACAGAACTCTTTAGAATCACTTGAGAGCTTTTTCAAAGGAAACGTACCCTCCCCTGATTTCCTACACCCCAAGGATAATAATACCATCTAGGGTATGCATCTAGGGTATCCATTCTTCTGATCAATATTCTCCACTTGTGGTTTGCATAGTCCAGAGAAGCCTATCCTCCTTGGTGCTTCTGTTAATGCAACCTGAGACTAAGTTAGGCTCTTTGACAGGCTTGCCATTGAAAGTAACAAAATCGTGACATGCTTTTTCTCATCTGTGCTGCTGTTTAGGCATTCTGTTGAATTTGACTTATAGCTCATTTCTGGATATTTTATTAAATAATACTTGTTAATTTTAAATATTGATTAACTTACTCATCTGCCGAGACCTTTTGGCATACTGATTCTGCCAACACATATTCTGACATTTCAGTGAGGTTTAGAAAGAGGCGAGGTGTGCTCAGTGATTGAAAGCAGGGAACATACCGCCATATTCCGGATTTGCTGGCCTGCCAGAGTCCGCAGGTGCTTCAGAAGGGCCCGGTATGTCTGAGTTTTCTCCTCTGGGAGTTCAGAGATGCTCTCAGCCAAGATGTCCTTCACCTGGGCCAGGCTGCAGGCAGCACCAATGGTTAGTCCTGGAAAATGAATTGGTTTTGTGTGACATGGAAGAAGCAATAGAATTGTAATCCTGGCACCAGGGTCTTAGCATTCAGCCATTACAACTGGCTTCGTGGAGGGTCAGCGAGAACTCAAAAAGGGCACCAACATTCACTCCCACATCAATTGAATTGGAGTCTCTGGGCATGGGGACATTTTTGGAGGGCAAGGGTTACTGGGGATTGAATTTAGGGGCACTTGACCGCTGAGCCATATCACCAGCCCTATTTTGTATTTTATTTAGAGACAGGGTCTCACTGAATTGCTTAGTGCCTCTATTTTTGCTGACGCTGGCTCTGGCGATCCTCCTGCCTCAGCTTCCTGAGCTGCTGGGATTACAGGCATGTGCTACCATGCCTGAATGGGCATGGGGATTTTTAAAAGGCTCCCTAGGTGACCTCTAGTGCAACCAGGACTGGAAAACCCTGGATCACATCCTTTTCTTGACAGATATGAGGAAATAGAGGTTAGAGAGAAGGGATGCCAGAGATGACAGTCAGCAGTAGATCCTACGAGAACTTTCCATGACTCCCTTGTAACAGATCATGGTGAAGCTGTGCAAGTTGCTGTGTGATTAAGAGATACATCTAATGGCATCAACACTGGCAAAGGTTGCAGAATGGAGGAGCCCTTGATCAATGGCCATGGCCATTTGCTGGGCATTTACCAAAAGCAGGGCTTATATTGGAGATAGGCATCTTCTGTAGCTCAGAAGCATCTCTCAAGAGCCTGAGAGTCATTCTCAGGTATGTAACCATCAAAAGGATAGGACCTCTGCCTCCAAGACTCCATGGGGGAACAGAGCCTTAATATGGATAATTACCAGCCAACAAACTCAGCTGGCTGAGTCTCTTTCATACTAACCAACCCATTGTGTGTTTTCCTCCTTTGACTCCAAGTCCCTGTGCTCCTCTCCTAGTTATTGGCTTCAGTTAGCTTTAAAACTCACACAGTGGAGTTCTGTGTTGAGCCTCCCCTTGCTTTGCTTATAGATAACACCTCTGACATATGGGTCCTGATGACAATGGGTCCTGGTGACAATGGTTGCTGGGACTCCTTTTCAGGGACCTTCAGGCTGCTTTTGTTGAAACCACAAAAGCTTCACTTGGGTCTGTGTAGGTGCCCAGTAAGTGACCTGTTGATCTCAGAAGGCTGGAAGCTCCACCCTCAGATCATGCTAATGCTGCCATTTTCTGAACACACAGCTCATGAGGAACCATGAGGTTTGACTATGCACGTGGGGACCACTGATCACTTCTCCTCCAATCACCTCTCCCCACGCCTTAAATCACCCTGCTTCTTTATCTCATGATATCCTTAAACCTGTCCTCAGGGAGGTGAATTGGAAACTTGTCTCCCGCTACATGCTTGTTCGCCTTTTGAGTAAGCTCTAAGTGTTTTGAAAAACTCATTATATAGTGATTGGCATTGTGTGTGTGTGGGGGGGGGGGCAGGCAAAATGGGCCTGGCTCCATGACATTCAATTCCCAAGGTCATTGTCTAAAATCAGTGATGCTTTGACTTCAGATTTTGTCCCTCTACAGGTACCTGATGCTCAAAATCTTTGATAATTAGCTCTGTGAGGGGCACCAGCTAGGCCCCATGAACACAGCTTAAGCAAACAGCTGCCCTAGGCTTTAGGTTGGGTGGTGTTGGGTGTGGAGAAGGTGGGGCTCCCTGGGGAGGGGACAGGGAAGCAATGGGACAGCATCCAAGAGAACTGAATGGGCTACTTGCTAACTGTCCAGGAAGTAATTCAACATTTGATAACTGTTGCCACAGTACTTATGAGGATTGGTAGGATATTAGTTCCAAACTGCAGGGTTTCTCTTCATTTGG